CTACCCTTAGAGACAGTATTGGGAGGGATTGCAGGCAGAGCAAATATTCCTTTTTTGGCATATTTTGGAATTTTTTTTTCTCTGCTCAGTCCATCTGACTTGCAAGTTCTTGGCTTCTTTTTACCCTCCAGAAGTGGGCTTAAAAAATGGTTGTGATACCTCTCTCATTTCTGGTATGAATATGACAAAAATCCTTCCACCAGGATGAAATAATGTGGAACAGATTTCTTTGTTGCAGAGCTTAGGCAGGAAGAGCTGCACTTTGGGGCTGCATCTGCTGCCCAAAGACTAAAGCTCCCACTAGGAGAGCAGGATTGAACATAACATAGCCCATGAAGGTCATCTCAGTATATAGAGAAAGGTAGGGGAGTGTGTGTGTGTGTGTATGTTTATACGTACACATCACTCACAATTGAGTATGCAGCTCATGAAGATCATCTCAGTATATAGAGAAGGGTAGGGGAGTGTGTGTATGTATATGTTTATACATGCACATCAGTCATGTCTATATGGCTGTATATGGGACTGGTAATTTTTCAGACTGGAAACAAATCTCTTAAATCATATATGTTTCATGTAATTTAAATAACAAATATTTTTTTTAAGGAAAAAAAAGACAAATCACTACCAATCACTACCAATATTCACAGGACCAAAAATTATTTTGTTGTAGAAATTATTTATGTACCATATAGTTTATTTGCAGGCACAGGAATAGAGGCCAGTGCTTAGGTTCTGTTTAGCTGCTTAGAGCTAATCTGTGAGTAATGATCTGGCCTCTCAAACTGGGTGGATTCTCCTAACATATATCATTGAAGCCTACCCAGGCTATGTGGAAGCAGAACATCAAAAATGAATGTCATCTGACAGCAACGAGATCACTACCAGAGCTAAAATAGCCCTGGACATGCAGTTCATGATGTGTGATGTCCAAGTGCTGCATATCTGCTTACTGGTGAGATTGTTTGAAGTAAATCCATACATCACATATTTCAGCACTCAGCTCTTGAGTCACAGATAAAAGAACCTACAGCAGAAAGGATTTTAGGGGTAATGCAGGAATTAAAGAGCAATTTAGGAATTCACCTGAATTATTTTATGAATAGATGTGTTGGAATTGGATATATGTTGCTAATTGTTGTCCAAATGTCATACCAGGCCAAATGAAGGCATATTACCTGGTGACATTTAATTACTCATTTTCTTCTTTGGCCTGATTGGATGGTACTTTGAGATTAATATTATACTTTGCATCTGAAAACCATGTATTTCTATGTTATGCCATAATAATTTAAAAGGTTCTCCTACAGACAAAAATATATTTTGTCTTAGTTATGTGAAGTTAAAAAAAAAAAAAAGTAGCAAAGTAGCTTGTGAATCTCTGATCCTATTCTTTCTACTGAGTTACTTCAGTTGAGTTATTTTAGTAGGAAGTGAAATGGGATTTTGTATCTTGGAATGGCGGKGAAGACAATTTTGTAGTCTGAAAAAATCATCTGATAACAAAAGACTTGTTTTATTATCCCTGTTTTTTTTTAATCTAATCACATCTCATTCTGCTAGTTATTTGATATCTTCCATCCATTCACTGTAATTTCCCTAATATTTTATCAGCATGTACCCTAGTCTAATTTCATCTAATTTCACACATCTAACTTCTGTTTACCTCTTTTCAGCTTTCTTTTGCATATCTAATCTAATTTTTCCATAATGACTTTGCAAATATATATTTTTGATATTATCAATCTAGCCTTTAACAATTTCCTTAGCCATTTTTTTCTTTTTTTTTTTCTTATTTCCCATGAAAAACTATTTATTTTATAAGAGTGACTAGGAGTTCCAGTCAGCAGCTAAGACTCCATTTTGGAACAAACTGTACATATGCTAACAAATGTCATCTCTTTAGTTCTCAGTTATTTCCATATCAAATAYGATGCTCAGTATAGAAGGATAATGATGGTTTAAGCTCTGCTGTCACATTCAGAGGTCGAAACGCCTCTTTGATTGATTTTAACTCACATTAAGCAGCAGGTCTCCCCCACTCCCCAGAAGTTTCTGCCACTGAAATAYTGTTCAGTATTGATGGCTGTTTAATCTTGCTCTTTCTTGCAGAAGTGCTGTGCTTGTGCAATCCTAAGGAGGGAAAAATAGCAAACCTTAATTTGCAAGTAAAGCAAGTAGCTCTAATTTAAATTTACATCATGGTGAACTGAGCTATTTAGTAAGTAGGTCAATGCTATTTTGCAAGTAATAACTTTGACTTAAAAGAAAAGAAAGGTTTTTTTGTTGGTTTTTTGTTTTTGTTTTTCTTTTTTTTTTTTTTTTTGCATTGCTGTTGTTTGTAAGGTGTGCAACGATGAAAGAGGACCCTGTTCTTGGAGGTTATGAATAAACAAATGATCAAAATGCCATTCTAAACTCAGAGAGCTTTCGGGTCGTCTGCTTTCTGTCCTCTATTACTCTTCATGTTTGTGCTATAATTTAGGTWACTCTGAAGCATAATGTAATGCATTTATGGGAGGAAGAAAAAAAAAAAGAGGGTTGTTGTCTAGTTTGATGCATGGAGGTCGTGCTGTGAGTGCCAGAAGGGCTGTGCAGACTAATGAATCCAGAGGCAAAAGAACAGAGAGGAAGATACAGGGCTTTATTTTTCTCCTGAAATAAATATTGACTGACCTTGTGAACTGAATAAAATACAGTTATTAAATACAGTTATTAAAAATATTTTTAAAGCAGAAAAGTTTCCCAATAGATGTAAGATGTATGATCTATCATTAGATATCACTGGCAAGACTTGAATGGGCACTGTAGCAGCAGCCCTGCAGTCGGCTGTTTTTCAGTCTATTAACTAAACTAACAGGCACAGCTTTCAGGACAGTGTGATCCACTTTATATCTGAAGACACGTGGAAAATCTAGGATTTTATTTTTATATTATGCATTAGCAATCCCGTAATAAAATCTTGCTGGGAAGAGGGTGGGGAATAACTCTGCTATAAACAATAGATGCCAAAAAATGTCTTAAAATCTGTCGTAATGGAAAAAAWTTTCCTAAATAAATGGCATATTCCTTGCAGTGGACTCCAAAGCCCTCTGCAGATACCCCTGCATGTTTCCCTTTGGAAACAGCAACTTCTTTGGTGGCACATAGGAGCTACACAAATAAATGCCATCCATTCCAGTTCAAATTAATAAAGGGACACCCCGTACTGAGGCTGTAGATGGCAGATCTGCAGTAGGATCAAGCAAGAATRTCTTGTCCCTGCTGTTCTTTTCCATGTTAAAGGTTATTTTGTGTTGCACATTTCAATACTATTCTTTTTTAAAACCTAAGATTTAAGCTCTTATAGCATATATTTTATTGTCTGAAACAATCAGTTTATACTTTTCTTATCTTTTTTTAGTTCATTACAAGTTCCATCAAAGCTAGTGGGTCTTTCACTTAACTGAGGTTTTACCTAGTTGCTAATTCTGTCTTTGTTTTTCTTGCATTCACATTTTTATCTTCTGAAAAGTGGAAGACAGATCAGAGAACAAAAAAGATTTGGAAGTAGTAAACAAATGAGAGTTGAAAGTTATTAGTATACTGTGAAGAAAACAAGCTCTGATTCTTGCATCAATAAGCCAAGGCTCTTGAAAGTGGTTTGACAAATTATTTCCCAGGAAAACAACACAAAACAAAGCACGATGACTGGGTGTTTCAGAAATTAGATTTGCTTCGGATTCTTCCTGTATGTTTTCTTTTTCCATCCATCTCATTGTTCAGTGCCGCCTTGTTCTGAGCTAAACTGTGTGTTATATGATAAACTTTGCATCTTGGTATGTTTGCCCTTTGAAAGTCTTAGACAGGAATCTGTATGGCTTGAATTTCTGCATGAGTATTAAGTAAATATATTTGGCTTTCACTGAAAAAGTTTGAGGGTCATTCTTACAGTGTCTATATAGAGTGGAAGATGAGTAGTGCATCTAGAGTCCTGAGTGTTTCTTAAAAGCTATCATTTCACAAGAAAATGGAGCAAGCAGAACAGTATCTGAGATTACCAGCAAGTCTTACATCTGGAATAGGAGAATTTATCTCAGCTATTAATATAAAACGAAGTATTACTGCTGTGTGTTCAGCTCTAACAGATATATAGTGCTTTTCCACTTCAAAGCCCAGAAGATGCTTTTATTAATTGCAAGGGATGGATGATTCTTTCCTTGCCTGGATCACAGAAAGAAGAGGTGCCTTGGGAGACTGGTACTCAGTAGCGTTGAAGCAGACCGACTCCATAGCCACTGAGATGTTGTAGTGCAGAACAGCCTTGATTCTGGCTGGAAATTAAATATGCTGCTTGTCAGAATATCGTTCAGATTAAACGTAGACARTTTACTCAGGGAGAAACCTGGCGTGCACCCACGCTTTGGCAAATGTGGGTTAGCACTGAAGCTCCCAACCCAGCTGCTCTGATGTGTCCCACCAAGCCACCATGACGTGAGCAACCCAGGGTAGATGAGATGGTGCAGAACTTGTCCAGAAAGACTCTGCAGTCACAGCTGGGATTTGTCAGGAGTCTAAACTCAGTCTGAGCTCTAGGATATGGTGTGATGGTTGATAGAGCTGAGTTGTGGGGGGGTCAGCAAGCTCCTAGCTACTCACAGTACCTACTGTTTATATCAGATTGCATTAATCCTCTTGCCCATCTCGGTGTCATCTGCCTCTGAATTTTGTTACCTTTTGCAGTTTAAATTGGGACTAACTAAATAGTGCTGAGCTTTGTTGTGCTTGCTACAGTTGTTGCAAAGTTAGGTAGCATGTGCTAAGGTAAACTAAGGATTTACAATACAAATATGCACGTTCTGCACAGCTTCAGGTGCTGCTTTGCTCTTGTTCTGTTTTTTTTTTTTTTAGAACGCTAAGCCTTTTGGTGAAGTGGTTTATCTGCTATTTTTTCTTTGCTTTGTAAAGTTTCTGTGCCTTGTAAAGAGATTTTTCATTCTATGATTTTCTGTTTTCTTTAGGGAACAGCAGTTTTACAGTCTGGAGTCTTACCAGCTCTACCAGGTAGGAGCTCTTTAGTTATTTGCTTTGCTAAACAAGAACGCTTTAAAAACTTGTCATGAGAGAAATGGGTTGATGAGAGTAGGGCTAAAGACTCTGTTGAGAAGTATTCACTTTAGTTGCTTTTGCTGCAGCTGCGTTATCTTTGAATGTAAGGGTTGGTATGTTTGCAGTCCTTTTCTAGTCTAAAGAGGCTCAAAGTTGCTAATTTTACTGCAAAGCTTCAGTGCCTTTTCTGCTGATGTATTCAAAGATCAAGAAAAGTGTTCTTCAGGTTGTATCACATAAGGATCCAACCATAGGTGTTTGAGTATCTGGCCTGCAGAGATGCCTTGGGTGTAGGTAACACACTGCTTGTTTTTGCATTGTAAGTCTCTACAGTAAATATTGGTAAAATATCTTGGCCATCTGCAGTTCTCTGTTTAGCCAAGTTGGTCTGGTACCTGTTGTATCATCACTTCACCTCAAAGACAGCTTTTCATAGCTCTTTGAGAATGTTARGGTTTGTGGACTGCATCCATCTTATTTCTTGGAGAAATTGATGCAAAAATGTCGTTTAGTATCTCAAGCATCTATATGTTCCTTAGCTGCTCCCTTGCTTCTTCCGTAAGTCAGTGGATATGAGTGAATCAAGTTAGATACCTAGGATAAGGAGGACTTTTTGTAGAAGGTCATGAGTAATTCTGTTCCTTTATGTTAGCAGGGAAGAAGTCCAGAAGCATTTAGCAGATCTTGTTTCTAGTTATTCCATTCCAGTTGGTGGAATTACTCTAGATTGCACAAATTGGATCATTACTTCTAATTTTATCCTTCCTTCCAGTACTCAGGTTTCTAGTCCTTTAATCAAGCAGAGTTAARCAGAGGCCTTTGCATGATGAAAGTGTGTGTAAACAGAGGGGAGCATGGGCCTATATCTGCTATAGCTATGTGATGAATATGACATTGTCTTTGCATTAATTTCAAGGATAAATTAATTGTGGATACAAATAATATCTGCCAAAAACTTAATCTTGGAGTATTCAAGATGATGGAGGAGTTAGCCATCGTGATAAAAATTGCCCTTAGGCACATTGGAAATGCAGAAATAGAGGACAGATTTTTGAATCCCCAGAAAACAAAGATAAAGTACTAGAGAAATTTGGGTGGATTTTCCACCTCCTATGCTGTACAATGGGAAAGTATTGCTTAAGAAAACTAAATATATTTTGGAACAAATGTAAAATGATTTAGGCAAGYGTGGTCTTTAGAGACAGTGATGCTTAAGTTAGCCTTTCCTGTGCCATCTCTGTCTCATCTTCAATTGTCTTATTATGGACTTGTAGAACTATATTCTTAAATATACTATTTTCCAAGAGTACAAAAAGCAATCAGCATATTTTCTCTGATTCAATAATCTCTCATATTTGTTATCTGCAGGTATTTTAAAGTGTTGACTCTTGTATTTGTGGCATTTCAAGTTTAATTGAATTAAACTTGGTGTTGCAATGCTTTGAGTATAAGGCTGTCATATTTGGATTTCTGGATTTCACCATCACTAATCCAAGCCACATGATGAAAGTCCATTGGTACCAAACAGTAATTCAAACAAGCTTTACTGGACTTAAAGAACATCATTAGATCTTTTCTTCATTTGTCTACTATGCTTTTTTATATGTTGTTTGAGGTAACAGTACTGATCTGCCCGATTGTACAGTAACTCAACGAAGTTACCTTGCTTGTGAGGGGACCAGTCCACTTAGTCATATATGCATTTATTTTAACCATAAAGAATATTTTATTGATTTATTCATTCAGATACAAAATACCAATCCAGACCCATCTTTTTCATGCTACAGGTGCCCACATATTCTGTATGATATTTTTGCTCTTGAATTCCTCAGTTTTGGATCACCAAATGAAGCTACAGAATTAGAATCAATTGTTTAAATGTTTCTCCCTTTATTGGTGGTGACTGTAAGTGATGATATTCTCCTCCTAGCTTTGCTTACATATGCTGAGCACAGAGAAGAACGAGCAGCTTCAGAGAAATTTGCCTCAAGCCTAACGCCAAGTYGAAAATATGTCATAAAAGTGGCAATAGAAAGCAATTGTTTAAATGATATTTTTGATTTTTTTTTTCTATAGGGGGTGAAAAGACCCAAATTAGAGCAAATAATATTGTTATGTTTAAATTATTTTGTTACTTTTGTTGTAAATAACTTTGAAATGATTGWTTAGAAAAAGAGTGAATTAGATTGGTTGCATTTGCAGGACAAGTATTCTGATTGTTACTATATATATATAAAATAAATAAATAAATATATATATATATAAATTTGAGATCAAGGTAAGGGATGCTCTGGAGTTATGTGATGTAAATATACCTGCTCTTAAGTTGTATTTGTAGTCATTATGGACCTTAAAAAAGTGTGATAGGCTCTTGGGTTCAAGAAGGTGGTTCAGGCTGCCTGTTATTTGAGACTGCTGTATTCAGGAGGCATCTAGATCTAGTGGACTAACTTGGACTAACTTTTGGACTAAGTTGTTCTTATGGGGCCTATACATAGCTTGCCATGAATGCTTAAGAAACTTTGCAGCCTGAGGCAGTAGATGCAAGTAGTGTAGCTCGTTCAGAGGTATGTGTGTGCGAATGGGTTTCAGCAGCAGCTTATGGGTTTTGAGTGAAGGGGTCATGAATGAGGTGCGTGTTCAGTGCTGAGGGCTGGAACCAGAAGCCAGCCCTTCACAGCAAGGTGAGATCAGGAGCTGGTGGTCACCTTGATCAGCTCCTTGCTGTGAATCTGTAGAACAAGCTGTAGAAAAAGCAGGGCTCAGGGGGCTGTTTAGTTCACACCTCAGCCCAAGATTAGGATATACTGAACCATCCAAAGTGCTTCGCTCTTCTTACATTTAGCCTGTATTTCCGAATATAAAACTTTAATCTTTCTTGCTATGATTTAGGGGCATGACTTAAATYTAGTGCTTCTTTCCACCTCATGGCAGCAGCTTAGGCAGGAAGTCCACTTGCATCCAATACTTCCACATTCTCCTCCAAAATATTTGGACCTCCCCGGTTGAGGAGCTCTTAGRCCTGTATCTCCTGTTTCACTGATGATGTTTTAACCACCAGGCTGTCGGCTGGAGGTGGAGGGGAAGGCGGCTCTCTCAGTCCTTAGGTGACAACCCTTCCAAGTGAACCCAGCAGGCAGAAACCCAAGACTCCTGCATAGCTCTAGATTCCTATTTAAAGAAACTGAATTCAGARTTAGAGTGGATTTGCAGAAGTGCTTAGGCTCCCTTTACAATCCCCTGAGAAGGCATTTCATGCAGGCTCTCTGTGGACCTTTATTTTTTTTGAAGTTGGAGGCACCTGTCCCTTCCCATTAAGTATGGGGAGTCTGAGTGCCCCGGCATTCCCAGAAGCCAGACCCAGTCTGGAATTTCGTCACCTAGCTTCAACAACTGTAATGCGAGGTCTGAATTTGACTCTCATCTCCATTCATGACCTCCCTGTACTTCAGTGCTGCAGACTCTGGCAAAGCAAAAATCAATAGCTGATTTGGAAAATAAGCAAAAAAACCCAACCCAAACCAAAACCCATCTTCTCTCCTTGAAAGCAGCATACTTGAATATTGACAAGTTTCATTTTCTGTCTGTGCACTTCCTTTTTTTCCCCATGTTGTAAATTCATTTGCTTGTAATACGGAATACAAGAGCTACAGATGATGCTAACTGGAAACGCTCAGAGAGGCTGTATTAAGGAACAAACATAAAACTGTACTGTGGACTGGAATTCAACTAAAATGTCAAGATGCTGTTTATGAACACACTAGCTCCATTAAATTGTTCTTACATAGATGGAGAGCTAAGGAAGGGAGAAATGAAGAAAAGAATAAACGTAAGTGTGTAGCAGTGGCAGTGGTTACTGAAAATGAAACTTGGATGTCTTGCAAGTTCTTCCCCTTCCCCTTTTTCTTTTTCATTAATGTATTTTGCAAACCTGTTCGGCCTGATGTGCCGAATGAGCTTCTTCTGAGCTTAGGGAATTAGGAAACTTAAAGGAATTAATTTAGATCAATGAGAAAGYGGAATCTGGCTGCTACTGTGTTGGCTGTTGTTATTTACCTTGAAAGTAACTTACAATTCACATATTTTTAATAGGTCATCAGTTTTTATAAGTTATCAGTGGAAGAAAGACAAGGTACCCTGTGGCAGTTTCACTCAAGTTTCACTGCAAAGGACTGTGTGCTGAACAGAGCCCATAATAATGATGTCATTATAGAGMTGGATGTTTTAATAGAACAGTATTAATATAATGGAAATTGATTAATAAAACCCTGCCGTAATATGACATGTTCTTTCTTGACTGTGTTTTATTTTATATGTGCACTTAAAATAATTCCTGTAGGAGAAATAAAATAGGAGCTCAGGAAAGGTAGGTAAGCTGATGAAAACATGTACTGCATTTATAAGCTAAACCTTGGCCTTAGTGCATATCTGAATTGCTAAGAGCCTAGTTAAGGAAAAAATCTACCCTGTGAAACCAGCCACCAGTGAATCATTCAAATGCTGTTGCTTCCTCCTCCTGGCTCTGTAGATGCAGCAGGTTTCTGTTGTCTCTTTTGTGGGAGGCAGAAAGTGAGTCCATGCCATGGAGATCCATGTCATGGTTCCTGATACGCCTTCCCTGACACCAAAATCTGGGGATTTCCTAAACTTCTAGATCCTAAACTTCTAGATAACAGAGATGAGAAACCTTACCTGCCAAAATAGTGCATTTTGGGGTGATTTTTTTTTTTCTTTTTTCTTTTTTTCCTGCTTCTGTTAAGGAGCCTTCATTGTGAACTTTATTTGCAGCCTGCATAGCACATGTCCTCACTTGGGGGCATTAGGACTTTGGGAAAAAAAGAATCTAGTGCAACTCTAAAAGAGTAGTTTTAAAAAGCAACAATGAGAACAAAAAAAACACTCAATGAGTTCCCTGGCCCCAAAACTGCTAATGATTTTAGCTTAACAACTTTGCATTTTTAAGGATGGAAGGTTGGGTTGTAGCTGCCCTACAGCATGGGAAGATGAATTAAAGCTAACCTTAAAGAGGTTAGGTCTTTGGAAGCAATATTTCAGCAGCTGGTGTGCTCGAGTGCATTTCTGGCTGGAAGTGGTACCGCTTCTTCTGAATTTCCCTGTCAGATGGAAAGCATTTATGAAAGTGAAATTTGTAGAGCATATAAATGTATTTTATGCATAGCTCATGTCTAATGATAATGCTGTTAGTATATCATAAAATGTGTGAAATAACTTTGAAAATACAAGAATAACAAAATTGGGCAAACTTTAGATGTCAGTTGTATGGTTGTATAGCACCAGGAAGTCTTTGATCCCATTTACATGGAGAGAAAAAAAGAAAAAAAGAGTGTGCTTGCAGTCTTTCTCCTGTACAGCAATAGCTTTAAGCTTGGGATGCTCTTCTAAGCAAGGTATCTGTCCTCAGAGAAGGACAGGACTTGGCAATGCCACTGACCAGGCTCTATTTAGAAAATGTATTGCAGCTTTTCATGTGTGTTGCTTCTCCCCCTTATTTTTCTTGGGGCACATGTGCTGTAGATTGCCTCTGATTTTGAAGAGTGGGCATAGAGGAGTGATGTGAAGAAAAGAGAAAAAAAAAATCAAATAGCAGTTGCTTTTGTTCTATCTTCAGCAGATGTCTGAATTCTAATCATAGGTAGGAATATAAAAATATTCTGGGAGGAGACAGCCTACTTTAACTTTGTCACGTTTTGAATATCTCCTTCCTCTCACACGTTGAGGAAAGTAGAATGCAAATAACTTTCCAGCTGAACTACTTATCTGTGACGATGACTTGAAAGAGTCAGCTACCCAGAACAAGGTATTCCTGGAAAGTGGAAAAAAGTAATTCTTAGGATTTTGGAAGACAACAACAGTGATGAAAGGGAGTGTCTGTCTTCCCTGAATTTGCTGGATGCTTTGTACATTTGGAAATTTGTCTTGATAATTGGCTCTTTCTGTTGCTGCAAGTGTTATTGGAGGATTTATACATGAAAATCAAGCCAATATATGCAGTAACTATAAAGAAGGAGGAGGAAAACATCTGGCCTGTTCTCTGTTGACGTGTGTTTATACAAGGCAGTTCAAAGCTTAATGAAAATTCCACGAGAGACTTAGCTATGTAAATTTTTTGTTAGCCACCCATATTGAAGATGAGAAAAATGCAACAGGTCATATCCTGAAGCATTAATATGGTTCCGTTGAACCAGCTCCAAATGCAAAAACTTCAGCTTGACCATAAATGGATTTGAACATTTTATGGTTTTCACTCTCCTTTCCTCTCTCGTATACTTTTCACAGATCCTGAAAAATATTGTTTAATAATCCACCTTCCTTGCAGAATGTTTTCTATTGAATTTCACTTTTTTTTTTTTGTTTTATTTTGGGGGAATAGGGGAAGAACACCTAGTTTTGTGATGTGGCTGAAATTAACCTTCAGCTGTCATCTTCACAAAGCATGTCCTGGTACTCTCAATAATGCAGGGACAGGATGCTCTGAGAAGAGAAAGAGGAAAAGCAGATAAAATGAAAATATAATTAATTTCCCTAATGGAGAGTTTGCATGCTTTATTTGCCCTGTGTTTTTTTGCATTTACTTACATCAGCAGTCTCCTTAAATACAAAATTTCAATGTATTTTTACTGGTTAARCTCTCACCAGGATATGTAAAGTTCCTATAATCTGATCTTGTTAACATACCAAATCAGCTCCTGAGTTATGTGTGCTTTAAAATGATTGTTATAGCCTGGAATGCCCTGGATATACTTTCTGATTATACAAGTACTGCAGAACTAAGATTTTGGTTCATTCATGTGCTTCTGAAATACATATTTAATACTCTTAATCTGCATTTCTCACTAAGTGATATCAGATCTATTTTGTGACGGTATAAGAATAATTTTTAAACATATGAATTACTAGAATTAGAAATTATATTATCTGAATATTTTAGTTATTTATACTAGAAATGAGCAACAAATTAAGAAATTGTTTTGTTTAAATTCCTAGGTGATGTAGATTTCTTAAGTGCTGAAGACTCCTATGTACCTTATAGAATTTCTTCAAYGTTAGAGTATAAGCCGTGTTGGTTTTGGATGCTATTTTAAAAACAAGTTGCAGAAAAGGGTCCCACCTGTTGAGGGGACGCTTCATCAGTATAGACAAGTGTTAATTCTGCACATGATCCTAACCTGAAGCAGCACATGTCACTAGTGGCACAGCCTCCCGTTCGGGGTTCTGCAAAGCTACCTTTGCAAGTTCCTTTTACAAGAAGCTTCCTAGAAATAATTCAGGTTAGGAAGGATATGGCAGTCATCAGGACTAAGGTTTTCCCAGCAAGAAGCTTAGATGCAAGAAACTCCTGGTTGGATAGGGAAAATGCTCTCTGAATAGGTAGGTATGTTGCTTATCAGATTGCTGGTGAAATGAAGTAGGACGTGTCCACTGCTCTGGATGCTTCTGGATGCTCTGAATTGTTTGCTAACTCTTGTTATCTCAAGCTTCCATATCTAATCCTGTAGTTAGGGCAGATTTATGCTGATCCAAATAGGGCTGGGGAAAGGCGACTGCCTGTCCTGCCTGCCATGCCCTCGGGAAAGGTGTCCTGGCCATATCACTTGGAATGACGTTTCACAAGGACTGCCCATGACCGGCACTCAGACCTGCAGGACTTGGGTCCTTCCCCTACCCTTCACCCCTGCCACGGGTTTGGTATTCATGCCAGCTACTGGTTGGGGGGCTGCAGGAATTGTGACACAGTTCTTTATGGGTACAAACTGAAACACAGGCAGTTCCATCTCCATGTGAGGAGGAACTTCTCTGCTCTGAGGGTGACAGAGCCCTGGCACAGGCTGCTCAGGGGGGTTGTGGAGTCTCCTTCTCTGGAGGTTTTCCAAACCCGCCTGGATGCCRCCCTGTGCCCCRTGCTCTGGGTGTCCCTGCTGGAGCAGGGGGTTGGACTGGATGATCTCTAGAGGTCCCTTCCAACCTTCAACCATTCTGTGGTTCTTTCATTAACTTTCCATATTTTTTTCCAATACTGTTTTACTTCTCAGTTCAAGAAGACTTCCTTCCAAGTAAGGTAGTATTCAACACAAACAGGTTGTATCTCAAACGTTTACAGAGAGTATCTTCTCTTCCAAAAGACAGACATCAGCAAAACTACCCTATAATGGCATGATCTCAGAATAAAGAACTGAGCAAGAAAAAGGAAAAAAATAAAAGGGAATATTCCTTGAATGAAAAACAGAGACTTAAAATTCTTACCAGAATTTTTGTGGTGTTTCAGAAACATTTACTAAGAATGCTGAGGCACAGCAGATATCTAATAATAGCAATTGGAATTGAGAATTAATGTGAATATCTCCTTGAAAACAGGTGCTTCTTCTGTCATGGCAGCTTCTGGGTCTCTGAAAGTGCATAAAGGGCACCCTCTGCAAGCTGGTAGGTCTAAGTGATTAGGAGGTATGTGTGTGTGCACATAAGTTTAGCTTAATTTAAATTTAAGATGGTAAAAATAATGTATGATTGTAAGACATATGTGTGTTTTTGTTAGAGGGTTTTGTTAGAAAGGCATTGACAGATGGGATAAGTTTAGAAGAGGCAGTGACAGATGAGATAAGTGTCGTTGCATAGGCAGTAATCTTATTCACTGCAGTAAAATACTGCCAACCCTTTAACAAAGGGCACCCACCAGAAAAGAAAAAATCACCTAAGGCCATGAAATATCATGGAAATTTTGTGTGCTAGCAATGACATGCGGGGGAAAAAAAACTTTACATTTAAAGATATTTCATGATAACGGAAGAAAATCACTGGATAAAATTGTATTTGTAGCCCCAAACAAATCCTAGGATGTTGGTGCTATGGGCATAGCTTTTTAGCTTGCCCTGTCTGAACCGAGGTGCACTTTGAGGTCGTGAGGGAAGCTGAGCATCTCTTTCCAGTGTAGTGCTCTGGAAGTGTCACTGCGGTTTCTTGTGAAGATGCCTATTTGCACTTGCAAAGCAAATTTGTCTTTGGAAGGGCCAGTCTAAGCCCTTTCTGCAGCACTCGGGAGAAACAGCGACGTTATCCATCATGCTGGAGGTGGAATTTTAACAAGAATCTTCCAGATGCTCCCACTTCTCCCTGATTCATTCAGTCAAGGCTGCTTTGCTCCCACATCCGCACCAGAGCAAAGCACGCAGTTGACTGCAAAGGCCCTCAGTGTGGATCCCTGTAAAAATGCCCTTTTATGCCTTATTTCCTGCTGTTAAACTCATCAGAAAGTGCTCAGATCACCACCCCAGAGAAGTAAATGCTAGCCACTGTTTGTCACTTACCTGATTTTTCAGTATTATTTAAATTTGAAGGATAAAAGACAAACAAAAACTCATCTGCTTTGTTTTTGTCTTGCAATTTATTAAGACCAAAGCCATTGACAGTGTTTCTGTCTTTTAGGTCCTAAAGGTGGCTGTGAGGTGCCAACACTTTCTGCAGAACCTGGAACTCCTACTAGCTCTGAGGAATCTGGTGAGTAAAGATCTTTGCAACCAAGTGTGGTGGAAGACATTAATATCTTCTGCTTTTCTCTTTTTTCACGAACGTTGTGTGTCTCTTTTAAGTAGTCATTTTTTCATGGGGTTGGTTGTGATCCTGTCAGCTTTGCATGCACATGCGCACACACACACACACAAACACACGTCTTGAGGCTTTGCTTACAGTGTTGGTTGCTTTATTTTCTGCCTTGTTTGTATTGCAGATGTCAGAGGATGGTGCTTACATTGGGCCTAGCTGTGAATAACTATTTTTAGCTGAAAGCTCCCATATCAAAATCACTCTTTTCTTCCTTCCCCAACCATGCTATCTTTTTTCTTTCTTTTTCACTCTTAAATGCCACCCTATTTGTTGTATTACTTTGCTGCTGCTACAGATTTTAACATTTTTCTTTCTTCCTTCCTGCTTTCCTCAGGTTCCTCAGGCAGTTATATTCTGCCAATTCTTCCACAACTTCTTCACATTATAATTGCATTTTGATTTGTTTTTGTCCTAAATTCATCCTCCATAGTGATCTCAAATCACTAAATCTCCATCTCCTAGCCTCATCCATTGAGAACATACTATTGAAAGTACCACCCTTGACCGTAGCACTTTGTGCCCTGTTTTCAAAGCAGGAGCTTTTGGCTGTCTTCTCTCCAGATGAATATCTCTCTCCAAATAAATATCACATAACCTAGGTTTTATAATATGAGAGGGTTTTTTTTTTTTTTTTTTTTTTTTTTTTTTTTTTTTTTTTTTTTTTTTTTTTTTTGAGGAAAAATGAAAAACAAAATATTTCCAGTCTGCAGTGCTTTAACAGAAGCTAGGCTTCATAAACATGAACAGCAGGAGACTGCTGCCCAGGAGACTGCTGCCCTTACAGTTTGCCCACCTTCACTCTTGATTTATTCATTTATTTATTTATTCTTCTCCTTTGGTTAACTTACAGAAACATTTGATTTTTGCCTGGGTTTTTTTTGTTATGTGTATTTCCTTTGCCTCTCTTGCACAAAGCTCCACCGGTTTATAGACTGTTCTCCACATATACTTCTTGGAAAAATCCCTTGGTAGCCTGGAGGAGGTATTACACTCATCAACTCTGGCAAACTTCTCAACTCCATAGGTGTGTAGTTTCCCTGTTTCCATGCCATGAGGAGATTTCACTTTAACAGTGAACTTCAGTGGACTTTTTAACAGTTTAACAGTGGACTTCATTTTAACAGTGTATAGAGAGACCTCCTAACTCCTGGCAAATTCATAGCCCTAGGACTGACACAGAGCTGTCGCTTGCTACCAAGCTACTCCTTGACATGTAGGTTTTCCATGCTGTGGTTCTGCCTGATCCCTTTTGGCATGGTCAGGCCGAATTCACTTGGAATTCTTAATAATTTAATAATTTCTTCAAACCACGTTTAAAGATAATGTGATTTCTCTTGCTTTAAATATTTGATGACCCCTCCACCACTTTGCYTTGGAAGAATGACTTGAAGCCCCAGGGTCAGAAAAATGGTAGGTTACTACGTGGTTATTTCAGTGTGCTCTTTACAAAAAYTTGTATTTGAAAATTGTGGGCTGCGGGGTAGAGAGGTTCCTTTGATTTAAATAGGTTTAAATTTGGAGGGATTACAGTGTCCTGGAACCTGCTTCAGTCTGACAGTTCTTGGTATGACTTGACTGTGTAGGAGCCATCTCTGCTGTTCATAATGCAGGCTAAGAAGAAAAAAAGATTTCCGTTAATGGTCATTTGCAGTTGCTGTTGAATGGATATAAGAAGTCATTCTCTTCATTCTGTGCTGTAAATAGCTTTGGCCACCTTTTGCCTCCCTATTTGAATCCAGGCAACGGGAACAACTGAAGTTTAGAGGTGGGGTTTCTCTGTGGCCAAGGAAGGGCCAGGTGGGAGAACTTCAAGGAGTGAAAAACACTSAAGGTGATAACATTTTTGTCTTGCGTTCCTCTGCCCCAAACTGAATTAATCGATGGTCCTCTCTCTTCAGTTCTTATTRTTCAGAAACTGTCGTTTGAGCAATTTGGAGAGTATGCAGGAGCGATTTAGGATTCCTTATCCAGTATTGGATTTTACATTTCCAGTAGAGCTGGGCTTTCCGAATGAAAGTCATGACATACTTTGAGCAAGTCTCTTCCCTTCCTAACAGCTGATCAAGCACACACAGGCATCTTATTACCTCTTGTTTAATAKTGTGCTTTTCTCAAGTGATGACAGCCAGTGCCTGTGGCTGTGAGTCTGCTGCATGTCTATGATAACTATTTTTCCATCAACTTATTCAGATACATGTTAATGTACAATTGTGGGTTTATTTTTTTCTTATTATAGAGAAAGCTAGGCTTGATATTGCATTAAAATGATATAAACAAAACACCTCCTCCTTTGCCAGTACCCAGGCTATTGCCAAAGGCAAGCCTTAGAAAAAGGGAGATGGAAAATGGGATGCAATAAAATGCAGTAGCAATGAGAGGTCAGTGGTGCTAATTCTGATTTCTTTTGAAAATGTATTTTACAAACTGTGTAAAAAGAAAATAGGTTAAAAATGAATCTTGGCATCCAGGCAATAACAGTCAGAAACCTGTCTTCCCTGTGACCTCAGCTGACAGAAGCATTTTGGTTTGAGTCCTTGTTGATTCCTGCAAGCATTCCACCTGGCACGAGTTGAAGTAGGAGCCAAGAGCAGTAACAAAAGCAAAGCCCAGTAAGTTCTGTGACTTTTGGGGAGCAAAGAAGCTGTCAAGTCTTCTTGCAGACTCTGGAGATGCTGAAATGGTCTCTAAATAGGCTGTCAGTTTTGTCCTGTGAAGTAGTGTGCATTGGGAACAACCCAGATGAAGGTTTGAATGTAGAGCTGGAAGAGATCTTGCGGAGTCTTAAAAAGGCAAAAAAGTCTCTTAGTCAAAMCCACTTTAGAGAAAAATGCTTCCTGATACTAATTTTCTGTTAGTAAAGCTTTTTCCTAGATACTTTTAGATGCAGAAATTCTTCCACTTCAATGGGGCTTCTTCTACATCTCTTATGGTCTTATGGCCAGGTTCTCCCAGTATCTAACCTACCTTTCTGCAGTTTAAGTCCTTTATTATTGTCTGTCCCCACTAAATATTGATTTTATCCTTTTCAAATTGGTGCAGGGAGGCTGAGAGCACTGTCTCCTCAAGCTTRTTGTCCCCCTATTTACACAGTTCTTCACTCCCTGTTCTCAGTACCTATTTTCCAGACTGCTKGTGATTTTGGTCGGTCTCCAATGCATGATATAATGGTCCACATCTTTCTAAGACAGATGGCTACTCAGAAGGCTTTATAAATGCTGTGTTAGTGTTGGAAGCCTTGAAGTATACAGTATTTCAGCCTGCAAGTTTGTGCATGATGTTTGCTTTTTTTCACAGCTGCATGAGATCACAGGCTGTCGTTTGCTGCATAGATTCYTACTTTGGGGATCTTTACGGTATAAACCTTACTTTTATGTCTCACCTGGGATTGAGGATATACAATCTAGCAAGCTCTCGTGTTACTGCTAAATGTTTGTGTTCAAAGTATTTGATGGAGCAATGCTTTGCTATAAAATGGATCACTGGTCATTGCAACAAAAATGGTATGCAAACTGGTCGTCGCAATACAAAAAATGTGTATTGCTTACTACTAATTGCATTATTTATTTTAGAAGGTGCAGTAGGTTATTCAGCTGACGTCCCTGCATCAGATCGACCCCACAGCGAGACAGCCACCTATGTGAATATTCCTGTCAGTCCTACATCCAAAAAACTGCTTCATTACATGGAACTGGAACTTCAAGAACCTACCACAAGCATAAGAGGTAAGAAAGTCCACAATATTGTTTAAACAACAAAGAAGGCAGTAATGCAGAGGTGCAGGTGGCACGGGGAATCCTTATTTTCTCATCTACCCATAGCCTCTTGCCAATAGAGGAGTCCAAGCTCACTCCCTAAGCAAGTAAGTTCTCATAATTGCCAACATTTTTAAAAAGATCTTTAACTAATGAGGTTCTATAACATGTTGCATCCTTGACAGGTGCATTGCATATGAACTACTAAAGTGAACACTTCTGAGTCTGGTTTGGCAGACAGTAATTTGCTCATGTTTTCAAGGTTTTCATCATATGTAATAGGACTAGAAGCTTGCCTAATTTTCTTTTTCCTAATTTTCCTTTGGAAACAGGGCAGTGGGTGTAGGTGAGCAGGGCCTGCTCCTAGAGATACCAGCTGCAGCCAAACAGCGAATGCTTAAGAATAAAATATAGTATTCTTGACCCTTTCCATGAGGATGTGTGAAAGTGCTGCAGAGGTGAAGCGAGCAGAAGTATTTTATTTATTTATTTAATTCTTTCATCTGATTTCTGGATATTTTACTTCTAATGCTGCTTTTATTTCTAATGGAGAATTATCCCYGAAACCTGTTATATAGCACTATATATTGTCACTTAGATGTGTGATGCTCCTTTCTGTGATTCATAATCAGGATTTGGCATTTAATTCTTTATACTTGCTGTTGATAGTTTTTTTTCTCAATATAGTTTTCAGCCATGTAAGTTTTAATGTTGATGCTTTTTCTTTTAGTTTCAGCCAACTTACAGCTTTGAAGTGCTAACACTTCTCCTTTTATTTTTTGGGGGTGGGATGGGGCAAGGAGGGTGTGCTTACTTGGCTTTCTTGAAGTACTTCTAAGTTTCAGCCAGACTTTAATTAACTTACTTTGTACAACAGCGTGTTAAGATATGAAAGTGGTGACCACTTCATTTTAAAGATRGTGAACCAGGTAATTCCATAAACTGACATAAACTTCAGCCCTCAACCCCCTGCTCTTTGAAGATGCCTCTAATGACTTTTAATGACCTCTAATACTTTTTTCATGCTGAAGTTTTCTTAATCTGTCTATTCGGAGAGCTGTCCTGCTCTTCATTAATGTGTTCCTTTTATCTACCTTATTGCTACTTACTGGTCTAAATGTCCTGGTGCCCAGGGCTGCAGGTGGTTGATCTGGTAAATGTTCACAAAATATGACTGATCCAGACAGACTAAGACTAATCCCTGTCAATGCTGCCTCGCCAGCATTGTTTTCAAATAGTAGGTGTTGTTCATTTACTGTGTAAGAGTTAAGTGATGAGAGATGTGTCCCAGAAGTGGAAGAGTGGAGATCAACTTTGTGTTTTACTGGGACAGATACATGTGCAGTCTCAAACCCAGGTCAGAAATGCAAGTGAATCACAACACACTTTCTGAGGAGAAATAGCTGCCTAAAATATGTAGGTAACAAAACTTCGGAGTTTTTCTTTTTTTTTTTTGAATTGAATGTGTGCTGACAGGTAGTCATTTTACTCCCTTTATAGATCTATTTTTAAGAGCAAAGTAATATCATATAGGAAGCCTGTGGAAGAAGAGTCTTACTGCGTTAACCCTGGGTGAGTTTTGCCCGGGAGCGCAGAGGGTTATCGCCTGTTACACAGAATCACAGAACGGTTGGGGCTGGAAGGGACCCCTAGAGATCATCTAGTCCAAGCCCTTGCTCCAGCAGGGACACCCAGAGCACGGGGCACAGGGCGGCATCCAGGCGGGTTTGGGAGATCTCCAGAGGAGACTCCACAACCTCCCTGGGCAGCCTGTKCCAGGGCTCTGTCACCCTCACAGGAAAGAAGTTCTTCCTCACATGGAGATGGAACTGCCTGTGTTGCAGCTTGCACCCACAGTGTGTACCTGGCTTGGTTTGYTGTTTCAGGGAGCGGATCATCCCGCTATGCTCAGATAGACATCGCGGCCACGGAGACAGCCCACAAGGTGGGAACGCAGCACGCGCAGTGCCGGGAGGAGCGACTGCAGGAGCTGGAGCAGAAGAAGAGAGGGGCTCAGCAGTGACCTGTCTGCAAAAGAACTCTTTGCTCACTGTAAATTGGTACTAATTTAACTTTCAGAAGTTTCGCCTTTATTATTAAAAATATGCTCATCCAAAAGCTTTGTACCCATTGCTTATTGTATTTACACCAGATTCATTCCAATATCTTGATTCCTAATTGGAGAGCTGGTAGCATGAGGGGTGTGTGCGTGTGTGTGCTCCTCTTTTTCTTTTTTAAATTTGGTTGTAAAGTCCAGATTATTTTTTCATATCTAAAGGTATAAGTTACCATTTTCTATAGTTCCAAAATCCTGGAAGAACCTGGAACCAAATCTAGTGATTATTAAACTGAGGCATTTTCTTTAAAGATGAAGGATTTGGATGCGTGCAGAGAGCATGCGAATGTGTGAATGTGTATGTATGTATCTGTGTGCATGTATATGTATGTTTTGTATGTAAGCACACACTACTCAGATAAAATATATGTATATAACTGAATATATGAAATATTTAGAACTTTTATTAATATATTAATGGGCTCTTAATTACAAAAGCAAGAAAATTTGGTGCCTTTTTTTGAAGGCACAATTTTATTAATCTTTTAATGCTCATTTATGGGTATGTTTACCTATGGATAATTCAGTTTTAAAACTCACCAAGAGTTCTGTACCTTTGGCTGAAATTGCCCAGATCTGGAAAAGCTACAGTGTCAAGGGCACAGATATTTATATATAGATATGCATAATATTACACACACAAACAGGGTATTTAGTTATGTGTATAAATCAGATACCTGAGGCAAAAAACATCAAGTCATTTGAAGGGCTATTCGGGGTGCTTCTCTTTTTGAAACTCCTGTTTTAGACAATATAGGCTTTAATATCATAGTTGCTGAGTACCTATAATTCTTACCAGATTGCCCTGGAGCTGAAGAGATCTTTCTTTTCAAAATCAAGTCTTCAGCATCTTGCTTTTGTAGTAAGTAAGACTATAGGKTTCAAAGCTTAGCTTCCTGTGTTGTGTTCTTGGTATATGCATTTCTTGTATCGTGTATTTGTCCTGAAACAAACTGTTATTTAACTCTGTTCGTGGCTGTACAATAGCAAAGCTATGAAGAAAAAAAAAAAAATTTGGCCTGCAATAGCATGTCAGCTTTKAGCTTCCAGGGGTTATCAGAAGTCTTGTCTTGATTATTATGACTATTTGACTGTGTAACCTCAATAGTAATAAAAAGTATTAGAAGGCTCTCAAATAAATAAATGTGAGAGTTGATCATTGCTGTTGTCATTTTTCCTTTTCTGTTTATGAGCACAGAATACTTATGAAGGGAAAAGAAATATTTACTTTACGGATTTCCCAACTTTCTAAGATTTTTCTGATTTGGCAAATGAACATTTGTGAATATGTAATACATAATTGTAAATATGTTTTCACTGAAAATGCAAGAGCCTGGATTTCAAGCTTCTGGCACCAGTTTTATCTAGGACCTAGCGCTTACCAGGCCCACCTGAAATGTGAACCCTCCAGGTTTCTCCATTGTAGGACTTGCAGTGTTAAAACTTTTAATATGTAGCTATTTCTATTTAATAATAAAAATATCCATTGCTTGATACATTAAAATGATTTTGATGCTTTCCAATTTTAGTCCTGTTTTCATTAGAGGATTTTATGAAAAGCAGTGATTCCACGCCAGGTCATTGTGATCTCTCATGCGCATGGGACCTAATTAAGCATCTGTATGGACTTGGCACTTCAAGATACTGATTCTTGCTGGTCATGGTTCATATGCTGCCCCATAATGAAAATGAAGCTGCCATATTTCTATTATAAAAAAAAAAAAAAAAAAAGTATTTACCAGGAAAAGTATTACCCAGCTTCTCCGCGAAGGTTTCTTTTCCATATGTTTCTCAAAATTACTTGCATTGAAACCTAACCTTTGCGGTAAGGGTAGAGATTTGATATAATAGGAAGGAGGCACCATAAAAACAATCTAAGCATTTTAAAACTATTTGCTCAGGTTAAATGAGGATGTGAATCTGTGCATGTGTTTGGTCCTCTCTGTGTTTATGTTGTATTTTCAGCTAGGATTAGCTAGATAGCTGAAAGTGCATTTATCTCTTAATTCTGGTAATATTACAGAAGACTAATCCCATAAGATTTTCTGCAAATGAATCATATATTAAGATTCATTTAATATATATACTATATATTCACTTATATATATATTATATATATTCGCTTAATATATTTTTTTAAACTCTGTTCTTGTTCTTAGCACTAAATGATATTGCAAAATGTTTAGGAAGCTGAAGAAGTCAGTCAAACCTTACTCTCATGTCTGCTAAAAAATGGTGGCTTGTTCTTACAGTACCTCACAGACCTCCCCATGTTTATAGGCTTGCTATTTTTGCTGAAGCAGCTAATTTTCTGTTTTGTTTGAAGAACAAGTGTTCGCAGAAGTGGAAAGCTTTTTCCTAAATAAATAAAATAGGAATGGTGGACTGAGGAAGAATGAAGGTCAAACTTTACAAGAAACGAGATGATGAAATGTGCAAACTTTTCAAAAAGTACCTTTCCTAGGTTGTCTGCAATACCCTGTCTRTGCTTGCTAGAATGATCACAGAAGACAATTTTATAGGTAAGTAGTTGCTCATTTCCATTAAGGTTATGTCTTTTGTCATATATTTAGGTCACCTTTTATCTGAGGTCATCATCTGCTAGTGTGCAGCCAGTTATACACTCATTATTTAGCAATCTGGGTTGAAAGAAAGTGTTAATGCCATCATATGGTGTTAAGGCAAAACAAGTCAGAGTAAGGGTGGAAGGATGAGAAGTTATTGAATGGAAATTTGGAAGGAATAGCTGTGTGAGCATATCCTGTATCAGTGTAGGTGAGCAGAACTAAGAAAAAGTGTTCCCAAAATGTTGATTTGGATGCGTTCTGTTGAGTCTGATTGTGTAGTCRCTGAGACTTAGGGTGATGATGGTCATAAGGAGATCACAGGTCACAGATTGAAGGTCTGAGGTCACAGATTGAAGTTGCTTCTGTGAACTTTCTTTGAATGTCTGGGACAAAGTCGACAGGAAAATACATGTCACATTCTGGACTGCAAGACCATAAATACTTTTATAAAGCAGTGTGTGTGTTCAGGAAAAAGCTGCTGAGTAAACTTCGAGTTAAGTAGAAACTTAACAGTAAAGTTAAAAAAATGTACTTGTTTAAACATGTGACTGTGATGGAGCACCCAGAAATAATGCAGTTTTCTCTCCCCTTGTATGCATGGAGGCATACAGGCACACGTAACAACCTCGCACTGAAGTGGTAGGTGTCAGTTTATTTGAGCARTGCGCAGTGGAGGGTGAGATTCAAAAGCAGATTAGCATGACAGTAACCTGMCTGTCCCAGTATATTATAGTGTTGTGAAATACCTCTAAAAAAAAAAAAACCCAGGAACTTGTTATTGTATAAGTTAAATTTTACTCATCTGTGGGTGAGCTTTCAATTTATGGGGAGCTCAATGTACACAGAAGAGGGGGGATGGCRCGAGGCCTCCCGCTCAGAAGGGGCCTGCCCGCGGCCTACGCSCGCCGTGGGTTAGGTCGGGTCTGGCACGGATGGGGTTTGCAGGGGGGTCCCTTTCGCCCRGGTGGCAGCAGGAGGAACATGGAGCTGCGTCCGGCTGCTGTACACGTTGTGTCCTTGGCTGTCCCCATGGAACAGCGCTTGGAAAAATTAACTTGTGGAGTTTGACAGAGAGGGAGGTAGGTGTCAGCAGAGAGCCAGGAAGCTGCAGCTGCTCCGCAACAGGGTTGGGGAAGAGCCTCAGGCTCTGCCTGGGGTGTGTAGGCCGGCACCGAGACCACCGTTAGGGTGTTGCCTTGTGTGCAACGTGTGGTGGTGGCAATGACCACCGTTAGGGTGTTGCTTTTTGTGCAAGGTGTGGTGGTAGCTATGAGGTGATGTTCTTTGGAGCAGCCCGATGCCCCTACTCTCTTTCCTCTGTCAAACAAGAGCTGAGGCAGCAGCATCTATGCCATGGCTGGAAATGGGGTGCACCTGATGCCCTGCATCAAATAATGGAAATGGAGTGTGTGTCTGGACGTGAAGTCTTTAATCCTCTAGTCCATGTCTGTGYTTTCTGGGTAAAGTATAGGAAAAATGAAAGTGTGTTTTGGGTGGCTGATGGTGGTAGCTGAGCCCTGACATGAGGTGGAGAGCAACCTGCCTCCACCGTGGCAAAGGCTCTGCTCTCAGYTTGGCCAGGGCTGCTTGCAGTGGCTGGGGTGGCTTGAATCAAGGTGGATCAAGTCTCTTGGAAGCCCAAGAATTTGTTCTTAGATGCGTTTTTGCTGTATCTGTGTTTTTTACAGATACAACATGGTGCTTGTGACCATGGGTCTCATCTATGGGGCTGTGTTTCCTGCAGTGACCGTACCCAGAGTCCCAGGCAGGTGCATCCTCTATCTGCTGCTGCTAGCTGTTCCCCATAGTGTGTATCCCTTTGGGCAAGCCCTCCCTCATACTGACACGTTAACGTGTTCAGACCTTCTCACTGATGTCTGTCTGACTGGAGAAGTGTCCTTCAAGATGCAGGTTATTGCCTGCCGCTGGCCACAGCTGGGTTCTCATAGGAGCCCTGTCCCTGTGTCCTGGCAAGGCACCTGCCTTGGACAGGGCCAGAGGGGCTGGAAGCCCCAGAGAAACCCAAAACCTGAGGCCAAAGGGAAAGACTGTCCATAGCTGAATGGRGTGATTTGCTTCATCCTTGGATTGGAAGGAACTAATGGGAACTAGTTTTTGACTTCCCTGTAGCCTTGTAGCTACCTATGGTCACTCCTGCTGCTTCTCCAGCCCCATATATGCGGAGCTGGGATACAGCGCTCGCACCCACAGCTGCTCCCCTTGGGATTTAGACTTGGTTGCCTTTAGAAGATGCTAGTATTGCTGTTCATTCAGATGGTAGTTAAATGAGAAGGAAAACAACTCCTAAGAGCATCCCTGCAAAATCACAGTTTGCAGTTCTAGCCCATTCTCTTCTTAACGTAACGTAGCTCCCTCCCTTTAAAGCAAGTGGCCTAGAAGACTGTAACTGCAGAATGTTATATAGTGTTTTATTTAAATAAACACCTATGCTTTGGCCTGTAAGATCGGCAGGTTTAAATTTACGGTAGACCGATGCTTGCCATGCAGTCTTTGGGGTTTGAGAGTGATTAATTATATGAAAACTGATGTGTGCTGCTTTCTGATAAGCTGATATGCTGGTGAAAGAATACGAAAGAATACCTACGCACTACATTAATGTTCTCATCATTTTTATGTTCACACATTAAGTATTAATATTTGTGTACTGTGYTTTATCTTGGAGAGTGACCTTCTCCTGAGGGCTGACATCATATACACTGCTGTGAGATATTGCTTTAGGGCTATCAACAAATGYATTTGGTTCCTGCACTGAATATGGCTCAACTTGAAGCACTGACTGTGGATGACAATTTATAAATTTATTTTAACAGGACAGATTTTATGAATACATTTACTTTATGGCTGTGGATACTAGCAAAGGAAATTCATACCACATTTTTCCTGTAGGTTCATGAGTTGCTTTCCAACAGGTCTCATGTGAGTGGCCTGAAACACCAGTCAGCAGTGTAGCAKATAGGGGATGCTGATGCAGGTGGCTGGAAGCTGTCTGTTCTGTGGGGTACTGCATACACAAAACCCAGCTTTTGTCTTTCATAGCTGCGCTTTTCTGTAACAAGGATAGTTCTGTTTGTAGAGGTCTACAGTAGTCTAGAGGTTTGTTTGTAGAGGTCTAAAGTAGAGGTCTACTTTATTGACCAAAAAGTTGTGATTTGATTTCTTCTATATAGGTGCCATGGACTGAGAAAATGCAGTGAAAAACTGTTTTAGAGCTGTCTGTGTAGTATTGATAAGTTTTTCTATGTGCAACAGCATTTAAAACTTCCCAACCCAAATACTTCTCTGAAGTACTGACAGATATCCATGAGGAAGGCTCTGTGGCTTGTGAAAGTGTTGGACACTCTTAGAACTCTTTTCCTTGCTTGTCGTGATGGAATGATGTGATCTGAGCTCCTCTATCTGCATGTAGGACAGGATAATATTTAAAGCAAATCTTGGTTATTTTTTGTTGCATTTAATGCCTTGTATAGTTATTTCCCTCTAATTTCCTCCTCCTCAGCCTATTTAATAAAGTCACTGACACATTTATTTAATCTGAGGTTCTTTCTCAGGGTGAAAATTGACAGACTGGGTAAAGCACAAAATCTTCTGATCATTTTCTTCTAATGAATACAGCTCTCCTCCTCCTCCCACCTGTATATTTCAAATTGTTTCTCAGAGTGGTTTGAAAATCTTGGCAGTTTGAGTAATTACCAAAGGATCAGATGATACCAGTTAAAGAAAAGGAGAAGGTTCCACTTGTGTGGAAGAGCTGCGGCTTCCTTTTTGTTCACATATTTTTTTTCTATGCCCTCTCATCCCTGAGAGGGATTCACCTTTACTAGGCACAGGACTGTATATATGAACCAGACAGGGTCTTGGACCTAAAGATTTCATTTATACCTTTCTACCTTTCTTTCTTGGCTTTATTTTTCCTTCTGTTTTTTTTTCCCCACCTCATTT